GACCAATGCAAAGTATTCATTCCAATAACCCATTCTCCCCTTCTTTTTCCTTTAAAAAGAGATTGACTATGCTCAATATCATTTATAACCAACCCCATTTAAATGAAAACAAACATTTATAAACAATATTTGGGAATTTGGGCGTCGTTCATTCCAAACTACTTCCAGCTGATTGGGGGCGATGGCTGTACCATGGGGATCATGATAAAACACGGAAATCTGACCAAGTCCTTGTTTTTGTAGTCTGGAAGACTGTATCATCTCAGCTGTTTTGGATGTAGAATCAGTTGGGTCACTGCTTCAGGGAGTCTTGCTTGATCAAACCATATTAGTCGGTAAGGAATCCACAGCTTTTTGTTTTCTATGGAAACACCAGCAAAAACTTTTTTCTCAAGTAGCCTGTCCTTATTGAAGTCAAAGCATTTTTAAAATGCATAAGTTGGATTAATTTAGCAGTACTTATAATCACATGTATTTTAGCATCAGTAACTCTTTCCTTGGCAATCAAACAATTTAAAGATAACAATATAGCATATAGTATCCAGACTCTGTATTTTTCATCTTTAGGTGTCTCTTCTATTATTCTATTTTTACTTTCTTTTGTTTCTTTTTTCCTGAGACAGGGTTTCTCTGTGGAAATCTGCCTGCCTCTGCTTTTGGAGTGCTGGGATTAAAGATGTGTGCCATCACACCCAGCTACTCTATTTCATCCTGTTACTTTTTCTCTCACAAGCCTACATGTATTTTTAAACACAGTGTAAACCTTTTAGAGCCTTTTCTTCATCTGAATCTGAAATGGACGTAGTATTAAAATGACTCCTAATGACTTAGTGCTATACCCATAGTTCAGTGCATCTCTCAACTTTTATCAGAGAAACTTCAGCTGTGGCGGCAGGTTTCCGTCTTCCTCTGGGAACCTTGGGGTATGGGGTCATCCCGCTCACTGACAAAATTCTGTTACAATAAATCTTTTCACCAAAACCGTCCAAGCCCTACTGCCACATGGGTGCTTTCCACCAGCAGCTTGAGTTCTGCCCACTGAGTTAGGGCCCCAAATAATACAGAGACTTCTATTAGGTACAAATGCTGCTAGGCCAATGACTAGGATTTCTCATCTGCTAGCTAAGTCTTAATTATCATAAATCTATATATTTTCTAAGATTTATTTTATAGAGGATGCCTTCCGTTGGCATCCTCTTCCCAGGATCACATGGTGACTCTGGCTTGTCCTTTTTAAATATGAGTCTCCCTGGTATGTCACTAACTGCCTGGATCAACACTTCTTTACTACATTTCCCAGAATCCTCCTTGACTCCTAGTCCCACCTAACCTGCTGCCTCATTGGCCAAAAAGCACTTTATTTATATTAAA